TACTGATGGTGTAAGCCTTTAATACCTATTCAAATCGTTTTATGTTACTTAACTATCAATGCATTCTTTGTTTATTTAGATTGACTCAGGCGGATATAAATCATTTTATTATACTCTCATGGATTTACTCCAATACAGAAGACCTCTGTGGCGGCGTCTTCTTCGGTGGCCTATTTTTAACCTTCTTAGGTCAATTTGCGTCACTTTCAAGCGATTGCCTAACTTGGGGGTCCATAATCTAAGAGATCCTTCTCGTGACGGGTAGGAGTTACATATTTTACTAATTTGTCTAATTTGTAATAGTAGTTTTCCATAGCTAACTTGGGCTAAACATTTTCCTTATTACAATTTTTCATGCCTTAATATACATATTTTGAAGTAGTGTCTAGCTATGTATGTATTCATTTAAACGCTATATATTGTTTTTTACTACATTATTGACGGCTTCTTTATCTATTATATATATTAGTACTAAAATGAGGGATTATTACCAATATATGTATTTCAATACCATCAAGTCATTTAAGTCATTGCTTCTAGCTTCCCAACCTTCCCGAAATTGCTTATTATTATAATTTTATATAGAAAACCCTAAATAATTGCATTTAATTAAACTCATTTATGTTCGTTCGATTGTACACATGTTGCCGATTTTTTCACTCTTAATTAGTATCTCACTCACCACTCACAGTCAACTCCAAAACGACCAACTTGCTTCTTTACAAAGCAGTAATGGTCAGCCAGGTCAACAGCATCAGAATGCTAGCTTCCAAGCCACTCCACTTGGAAGGGATAGTGGACAGCTCTCTGCCTTTTCTAATGGCCATGACGATTCTCATTCAAACCCTGTTTCTAGTCCCCATGAGGCATCTATTACTGGCGCCTCTGGTGGCCCACCGCGTGGAATAGCCACAGGAAAGGTCTCAGGAAAGACCTCTCAAAAACCTCGAGATGATCCTTTGCTTAAGTGAGTTGAACACAAAAATATTTTAAATTTGTTCCACTTGTTCTCTTAACCTATCCCCATCACTTTTATAATTTCGCTTTGATTGTATTCTTCTTTATGATATGCTTTAACTTGTCTGTATTTCATGGTGCTGGGGTTAGTTGTAATTAACAGTTTAGCCTCTATTCATTCAAAATTGCGAGGTTTTTCTTTCTGACACAAGAGATGTTTTATGAATTAGTGAGATGCGATTGCATTTTGAATCATCATCGTTTACACATTCAATTAGCTCATGGCGAATTTGTTAAGCTGAGCAGCATTTATATTGTAAAAGTGGCTGTCATATAATTTAATCCTGTTTCGATCCCGGATCTTATCCATAAGACATGCTTTGGGGCCGATATCATATTTATTTTAACTTTGGCTTTCTATCTGATAGTTTATATAAAATGCAAATTTTAGCTCCATTCGACATCTGAACTCAACTATTTACTCGCTGGCATATTTCATGTTTTCGTATTTTTATCTGTCTTAGCAGTTAGTTTATTTGCTCTGCTTGCATTCCACTGCCTTCACTCATCTTAGAATATCATATCCTCGTATTTTAATTAGCCTCCACTGCTATTAGTGATTTTTATCATCCTATTTGTTGGCATGATTTATCCATCTACAATAATCCTCTGTATTTTTTTCTTATACTTTAACAAATCTGATTCCACAAACAAGCTCGTTGATCTAATCTCCTGATGTCAAAATGATACACAGGCACTTTTTGGTCTTGAATAAATTCATAAGTATGTAGGCTTTTTATTTTTTCTTCATGTTCTTATTTGATGTCGTTATTTCTAGAATTTATTTCGCCATTTATTGTTTGGGAGCTTACCATTAGGTTCAGAAAGGGCCGGGTTTTTTTATCGTTAAGGTGCTCATGAGAAGTTAGCTTAACTCATTAGACTAATCTGTTCATGAATATAAGCCGACATACAATCCTAACCTACAATTATAACTAATTAGTCAACAGTAGAAATCTGAATTATACAATATATTTAATGCTGGTAACTCCTTGCAGCTA